CTTCCGTGGTGTTTCGCATTGACGTTTCTGGGTCCATCTCAGCCTCAGGCATCCTGCCTGGTTTTGGGCGTAAAATGGGATTATCCGCGTTTGTGCTCCAGTGTGTGCATGTCTGTCTGTATAGACAAGCTTCTTCTGTGCAGGCATGAAGTTGCCTAGTTGCATTCATTCATAGACGAGCCTGGGCGGCCGTTTCTGTGTGAGTCCTCGTTGGCATCGATTCGCTAGTCTATGTACGTGTGGCTGTGTGGCTGGGTGGCTGGGTGGGTGGTTTGTAAAACAAATGATGGCCTGTTTATTTTAATTCATTACGCCTGTTTGGATAGGATTTTTCTTCAGAATTTGTCTGGAACAAGAACTCATTTTTGGCTCTCTTTTAGACCGGCTCATTCTTCTCACGCTGCGGCTCGCACGTGATCAGAAAAAGAAAACTGTACCTCTGATTTTCTTTTTAAGCCGCACTTGTGACGGCAACATCCGAGCGTCTGTATCACAGCGGACTAACCTACAAATAGCTAATCAGCTAGAGAAAGTGTGTGTGTGTGTGTGTGTATATATATCTATATATGTGAGAGAGAGAGGGAAAGTAATGTCTTAAATCTGGGCGGCGCGAGTAAGCCCATAGTAGGATTATTTACATGGAAACGAATAAACGGAATCCGCTTAAGTCTTGTTCTTTTCTTATTTAATACATAAATGCTAATATAGATTAACCTTTCTTGTTCGAGGCTGACCCAAGCCATAAAGAGGAAACGTTTTGACGGTTGATCATATGAATGTATCCGTTTTAAACGTTTTCGGAAGAAATAAACCGCTTGATCTGCACATTTCAAACGTTATAATCGCTGCCGATGCAAGTATTTCTGTTTTATACAACTCGAGGATTATCATCGAAGATGAAAGTGGCCAACCATTTAAATCTTTATAGGAATACTTTTTGAGAGCTGTTGACCTCTGGCGCCCGGCGACACATGAGCTGTGATTGGGTTGCACGATAACTTGTCTAGAAATGGCACGATGAATTGCTCTTTCATTTGTCTTGCCGGGAAGTTACGGCAGAGGGTGCTGCTGCTGATGAGGATGATGATGATGATGATGAGGAGGAGGAGGAGGTTGTGAAGTCGCGGTTACGAGGCTACAGAGCCTCCAGTCTCTGAGTGCTGTGAAATGTACCAGTTTCAAACAGTTCTACTGGACAGGGGATGAATCTGCCCACGATTGCGATCGTGCCTGCCTGAGGCCAAAAGAGATTTGATGTTGGGACGAGAAGAGGAGACAACTGTTCGTGAATCTGTTGTTCACCTTTTTGGTCCTTGGCAAGTAATGGGCTCAAATCCGCCCCCACCAAATGAGTCGTCTTCTCGGCCGACCGCGAAGACTACGTTCTAGGCGCGTCAATGAAGGATCGGATGAGGAGACCCTTTTGTTGCTTGCGCTCGGGCATAAAGCTGGCAGGACGTCGAGTTGCTAAGGTCTGAAATGGACACTGCGGACATGTGATTACGGCTTTCCTTTGATCTCCTAAGCAGCCGATGTGCGCCCATGTCTGTGTGTGTGTATATATATATATATATATGTGTGTGTGTGTGTTTTGCAGGAGAAGGAGGGCACTTGAGGTTACATGAAAGGTGTGCCAATGGAGAATGTTACCACTTTGGCTTCAAGTGGTTCTTATTCAGAGGAGACATAATCTAACTCTTACAGACAGACGGATAGATAGAAATGCAGACATACAGACAGGCAGAAAAATGTCCTCGGATCGCCTGAAGTCATGACAGTCTCAATGACCAGATTTGTAAATGGGAAAATATTTTCCGCAAGATTCGACTCCAATAGCTGAGATCACATTTTCTCTTTATTTGCATCAATTGAAAAAGTTTATTTGGATGCTTCTG